TAGGGTACCTAATCTTTTCAGAGGACACACGTTTGGTTGATTGGCGACGATTGAGTGAGGAAGGTCCTTTGGAAGATTTTATGTCAGATTTTGAATTTTCAATCCGCTTGAATTTTTTAACCCTTTAAAAGCATGTTATTTTTGCCTTTGCATTTCAGTCACATTCAGTCAATGTGAGTGAAATTTCAAAATGACACTTTCACCTTCAAAATATTCAATTTGACTGATTATTTGTTTCGTCAGAAATTTAATTTTAAATGTACCTGAATTCATCTAGTTTCATTCAACTTTTTCATTTATGTTTTTATTCCAAAAACCAGCTTTAACATAATTTTACAATAGAATAATATAATAAATAGTTATACACAAGGTTTGGAAAGAGGCACACACACTTGTGTGTACTCTGTACTCTGTGTACTCGAGTACTTACTAAAGTCCTCTTTGTGCAGGTCTCTGTCTCTCCTGCTCCTGAAGAGTCCACACAGTGTGAAGAGCGACACCACATGGTGAGCGGCCGCAACTGCACCAAGATGATGTTCCACAGTGCGGCGCGGCAGCAGAGCTCGGTGGCTGCGGTGACGCCTGTTCAGTGATGATGATGATGATGATTATGTTCCACAGTGCGGCGCGGCAGCAGAGCTCGGTGGCTGCGGTGACGCCTGTTCAGTGTGATGATGATGATGTTCAGTGATGATGATGATGTTCAGTGATGATGATGATGTTCAGTGATGATGATGTTCAGTGTGATGATGATGATGTTGTTCAGTGATGATGTTGTTCAGTGATGATGATGATGATGATGTTCAGTGATGATGATGATGTTCAGTGTGATGATGATGATGTTCAGTGATGATGATGATGAAGATGATTATGTCCCACAGTGCGGCGCGGCAGCAGAGCTCGGTGGCTGCGGTGACGCCTGTTCAGTGATGATGATGATGATGTTCAGTGATGATGATGATGATAAAGATGATTATGTCCCACAGTGCGGCGCGGCAGCAGAGCTCGGTGGCTGCGGTGACGCCTGTCGCCAGCAGCAAAGGAGAATATGTCATCACTAAACTGGACGATCTGGTCAACTGGGCCCGGAGGGTAAGAGTCTGGGTCCCTGTGACCTCTGACCCCTGAGCTCCCTCTGACTTGTGACCTCTGACCCCAGAGCTCCCTGTGGCCCATGACCTTTGGCCTGGCGTGCTGTGCGGTGGAGATGATGCACATGGCGGCGCCTCGTTACGACATGGATCGTTTCGGAGTCGTGTTCAGAGCGAGTCCACGTCAGGCAGACGTCATGATCGTAGCAGGGACTCTGACCAACAAGATGGCCCCCGCCCTGCGCAAGGTCAGGATTACACTCATCTGTAATCTGGATTATTCTGTAATCTGGATTATTCTGTAATCTGGATTATTCTGTAATCTGGATTATTCTGTAATCTGGATTATTCTGTAATCTGTGTTATTCTGTAATCTGGGTTATTCTGTAATCTGGATTATTCTGTAATCTGGATTATTCTGTAATCTGGATTATTCTGTAATCTGGATTATTCTGTAATCTGGATTATTCTGTAATCTGGATTATTCTGTAATCTGGATTATTCTGTAATCTGGATTATTCTGTAATCTGGGTTATTCTGTAATCTGGGTTATTCTGTAATCTGGATTATTCTGTAATCTGGACTATCTGGATTTTACTCTAATACAACAGTAGTCATCTCAGAGGACTAATCTGGATTATACTCTCTCCAATCTGGATAGACATGATCCTGTCTCTCTCTTCTCCTCTCTCCTCTCTTCTCTCTCTTCTCTCCTCTCTCTCCTCTCTCTCTCTCTCTCTCTCTCTCTCTCTCTCTCTCTCTCTCTCTCTCTCTCCTCTCTCTCCTCTCTCTCTCTCTCCTCTCTCTCTCTCTCTCCTCTCTCTCTCTCTCTCTCTCTCTCTCTCTCTCTCTCTCTCTCCTCTCTCTCTCTCTCCTCTCTCTCTCTCTCTCTCTCTCTCTCTCTCTCTCTCTCTCTCTCTCTCTCTCTCTCTCTCTCTCCTCTTCCTCCTCTTCTCCTCTCCTCTCTCCTCTCTTCTCTCTCCTCTCTCCTCTCTCCTCTCTCCTCTCTTCTCTCTCTTCTCCTCTCTTCTCCTCTCTCTCTCTCCTCTCTCCTCTCTCTCCTCTCTCTCTCCTCTCTCCTCTCTTCTCTCTCTTCTCCTCTCTCCTCCTCTCCTCCTCTCCTCCTCCCTCTGACTGAAGCCTGTCTCTCCCACAGGTGTACGACCAGATGCCAGAGCCGCGCTACGTCATCTCCATGGGCAGGTAGTGTGTGTGTGTGTCTCTGATGTCTCTCTGATGTCCCTGATGTCTCTGTCCCTGATGTCTCTCTCTGATGTCCCTGATGTCTCTCTCATGTCCCTGATGTCTCTGTCTCTCTGATGTCTCTCTCTGATGTCTCTCTGATGTCTCTCTGATGTCTCTCTCTGATGTCTCTCTCTGTCCCTGATGTCTCTGTCTCTCTCATGTCCCTGATGTCTCTGTCTCTCTGATGTCTCTCTCTGATGTCTCTCTGATGTCTCTCTGATGTCTCTCTCTGATGTCTCTCTGATGTCCCTGATGTCTCTGTCTCTCTGATGTCCCTGATGTCTCTGTCTCTCTGATGTCTCTCTCTGATGTCCCTGATGTCTCTCTCTGATGTCTCTCTGATGTCTCTCTCTCTGATGTCTCTGTCTCTCTGATGTCTCTCTCTGATGTCCCTGATGTCTCTCTCTGATGTCTCTCTGATGTCTCTCTCTGATCTCTCTCTGATGTCCCTGTCTCTCTGATGTCTCTCTGATGTCTCTCTGATGTCCCTGATGTCTCTCTCTGATGTCCCTGATGTCTCTCTCTGATGTCCCTGATGTCTCTCTCTGATGTCCCTGATGTGTCTCTCTGATGTCCCTGATGTGTCTCTCTGATGTGTCTCTCTGATGTCTCTCTCTGATGTCTCTCTGATGTCCCTGATGTCTCTCTCTGATGTCCCTGATGTGTCTCTCTGATGTCCCTGATGTGTCTCTCTGATGTGTCTCTCTGATGTCTCTCTCTGATGTCCCTGATGTGTCTCTCTGATGTCCCTGATGTTTCTCTCTGATGTGTCTCTCTGATGTCTCTCTCTGATGTCCCTGATGTCTCTCTCTGATGTCCCTGATGTCTCTGTCTCTCTGATGTCTCTGTTGTCCCTGATGTCTCTGTCTCTCTGATGTCCCTGATGTCTCTGATGTTCCTGATGTCTGTCTCTCTGATGTCCCTGATGTCTCTGATGTCCCTGATGTCTCTCTCTGATGTCTCTGTCTCTCTGATGTCCCTGATGTCTCTGATGTCCCTGATGTCTCTGTCTCTCTGATGTCCCTGATGTCTCTGTCTCTCTCTCTGATGTCTCTCTCTGATGTCCCTGATGTCTCTCTCTGATGTCCCTGTCTCTCTGATGTCCCTGATGTCTCTGTCTCTCTGATGTCCCTGATGTCTCTGATGTCCCTGATGTCTCTCTCTGATGTCTCTGTCTCTCTGATGTCCCTGATGTCTCTCTCTGATGTCCCTGATGTTCCTGATGTCTCTGTCTCTCTGATGTCCCTGATGTCCCGGATGTCTCTCTCTGATGTCCCTGTCTCTCTGATGTCCCTGATGTCTCTGTCTCTCTGATGTCCCTGTCTCTCTGATGTCCCTGATGTCTCTGATGTCTCTGATGTCTCTGTTGTCTCTCTCTGATGTCTCTGATGTCCCTCTCTCTGATGTCTCTGATGTCCCGGATGTCTCTCTCTGATGTCCCTGTCTCTCTGATGTCCCTGATGTCTCTGTCTCTCTGATGTCCCTGATGTCTCTGATGTCCCTGATGTCTCTCTCTGATGTCTCTGTCTCTCTGATGTCCCTGATGTCTCTGTCTGATGTCTCTGTCTCTCTGATGTCCCTGATGTCTCTGATGTCCCTGATGTCCCGGATGTCTCTCTCTGATGTCTCTGTCTCTCTGATGTCCCTGATGTCTCTGTCTCTGATGTTGCAGCTGTGCGAATGGCGGCGGTTACTACCATTACTCGTACTCTGTGGTCCGCGGCTGCGACCGCATCGTCCCTGTGGACATCTATGTTCCAGGTGAGTCTGAGGCATCTGCAGGGAAGTACTCATGGACGAAGTTTGGCTCTTTCTGGTGTTGACCTATTGGCTACAGCGCTACATTAGCCATAGCTCCATATTAGCTACAGCGTTACATTAGCCATAGCTCCATATTAGCTACAGCGCTACATTAGCCATAGCTTACTGGTCATGTGATGGTCATGTGACTGTGGTCCGCAGGCTGCCCTCCCACCGCTGAGGCGCTGCTCTACGGGACGTTGCAGCTGCAGAAGAAAATCAAACGAGAGAAGAAGATGAGGATCTGGTATCGGAAGTGATCGTTGTAAATAAATAAATATCATTCTGTTCAACTTTAATAAAGTCACTGTCTCTGGCCACGCCTCCATTCATTATGTGTATGGTCTCTCTCTGGTCTCTCTCTGGTCTCACTCTGGTCTCTCTCTCTGGTCTCTCTCTCTGGTCTCACTCTGGTCTCTCTCTCTGGTCTCTCTCTGGTCTCTCTCTGGTCTCACTCTGGTCTCTCTCTGGTCTCTCTCTGGTCCCTCTCTGGTCTCTCTCTGGTCTCACTCTGGTCTCTCTCTGGTCTCTCTCTGGTCCCTCTCTGGTCTCTCTCTGGTCTCACTCTGGTCTCACTCTGGTCTCTCTCTGGTCTCTCTCTGGTCTCACTCTGGTCTCTCTCTCTGGTCTCTCTCTCTGGTCTCTCTCTCTGGTCTCTCTCTGGTCTCTCTCTGGTCTCTCTCTCTGGTCTCTCTCTCTGGTCTCTCTCTCTGGTCTCTCTCTCTGGTCTCTCTCTGGTCTCACTCTGGTCTCTCTGGTCTCTCACTCTGGTCTCACTCTGGTCTCTCTCTGGTCTCTCTCTGGTCTCACTCTGGTCTCTCTCTCTGGTCTCTCTCTCTGGTCTCTCTCTGGTCTCTGGTCTCTCTCTCTGGTCTCACTCTGGTCTCTCTCTGGTCTCACTCTGGTCTCTCTGATCTCTTCCTGGTCTCTCTCTGGTCTCTCTCTGGTCTCTCTCTGGTCTCACTCTGGTCTCTCTGATCTCTTCCTGGTCTCTCTCTGGTCTCTCTCTGGTCTCTCCCTGGTCTCTCTCTCTGGTCTCTCTCTGGTCTCTCTCTGGTCTCTCTCTGGTCTCTCTCTGGTCTCTCCCTGGTCTCTCTCTCTGGTCTCTCTCTGGTCTCTCTCTGGTCTCTCTCTGGTCTCTCTCTGGTCTCTCTCTGGTCTCTCTTTGGTCTCTCTCTGGTCTCTCTCTCTGGTCTCTCTCTGGTCTCTCTCTGGTCTCTCTCTGGTCTCTCTCTGGTCTCTCCCTGGTCTCTCTCTGGTCTCTCCCTGGTCTCTCTCTGGTGTCTCTGGTCACTGGTTTCTGGCCTCTCTGGTCTGGTCCGGTCTCAGTTCATAGTTGACTTATTACTGCTGTAATCTGAGGTTATCTTTAAACTGTGGGACTTCCACAGATGGAGTCAGAGAAACTGTTCAGTCTGGGTCTGGGAGGTTTCTCTTTCTCCCTCTGGGTCTGTCAGGTTCTCTGTCAGGTTCTCTGTAGGTTCTCTGTAGGTTCTGTCAGGATCTTTGTAGGTTCTCTGTCAGGTTCTCTGTAGGTTCTCTGTAGGTTCTCTGTCAGGTTCTCTGTAGGTTCTGTGTAGGTTCTCTGTCAGGTTCTCTGTAGGTTCTCTGTAGGTTCTGTCAGGATCTTTGTAGGTTCTCTGTCAGGTTCTCTGTAGGTTCTCTGTAGGTTCTGTCAGGATCTTTGTAGGTTCTGTCAGGTTCTCTGTAGGTTCTCTGTAGGTTCTCTGTCAGGTTCTCTGTCAGGTTCTCTGTAGGTTCTGTGTAGGTTCTCTGTCAGGTTCTCTGTAGGTTCTCTGTCAGGTTCTCTGTAGGTTCTCTGTCAGGTTCTCTGTAGGTTCTGTGTAGGTTCTCTGTCAGGTTCTCTGTAGGTTCTCTGTCAGGTTCTCTGTAGGTTCTCTGTAGGTTCTGTGTAGGTTCTCTGTAGGTTCTCTGTAGGTTCTCTGTCAGGTTCTCTGTAGGTTCTCTGTCAGGTTCTGTGTAGGTTCTCTGTAGGTTCTCTGTAGGTTCTCTGTCAGGTTCTCTGTAGGTTCTGTTTAGGTTCTCTGTAGGTTCTCTGTCAGGTTCTGTGTAGGTTCTCTGTAGGTTCTCTGTCAGGTTCTCTGTAGGTTCTGTCAGGATCTTTGTAGGTTCTCTGTCAGGTTCAGGTTCTCTGTAGGTTCTGTGTAGGTTCTCTGTCAGGTTCTCTGTAGGTTCTCTGTAGGTTCTGTCAGGATCTTTGTAGGTTCTCTGTCAGGTTCTCTGTCAGGTTCTCTGTAGGTTCTGTGTAGGTTCTCTGTCAGGTTCTCTGTAGGTTCTCTGTAGGTTCTGTCAGGTTCTCTGTCAGGTTCTCTGTAGGTTCTGTCAGGTTCTCTGTAGGTTCTCTGTAGGTTCTTTGCTGAGGTCTGTTTCAGTTTACATTGAGTTCTATGAGGGACATGTCTGTTAACGTGAGTTTAGCCTTTATTTTGCAGCACCAGGAGGATCTCCTGTGCACACGGTATCCGTGTACATGGTCTCTCGTGCACATGGTCTGCTGTGCACATGGTCTCCCGGGCACATGATCTGCTGTGCACATGGTCTCCCGGGCACATGATCTGCTGTGCACATGGTCTCCCGGGCACATGATCTGCTGTGCACATGGTCTCCTGAGCACATTTTCTCTCGTGCACATGGTCTGCTGTGCACATGGTCCTTCAGCTTCGAGCTGTAACACTCATGGATCTATTGTGATCAACTTTTTTTCTTAAATCCTTTGGTTTTCTTTAAATCCAGAAACTGCTCGTCTGGCTCTCGCTCTGATTGGTCAGAACACGGCAGAGCCCCTCTGTGCCCGTGCATGGTTGTGTGGTTGCTATGGTATCATGGTTGCTATGGTATCATGGTTGCTATGGTTGTGTGGTTGCTATGGTATCATGGTTGCTATGGTTGTGTGGTTGCAGAAACGAAAGATAAAAAATAAGGATCAAAATGACTCATGAGTCAAAGGTTCAGATGTAATTGTTTCAAACATGCACAAGATAAAAACTTTTTACCCGATTACACATGGTTTTTAGTTCTACGAAGTTTCCTTCATTTAAACGAAAGAGTTCAGTAAATCAGCAATAACTACAGAGCATCTTGTCCTTTATAAATATGACATAACAAGATATTATACAACATAAATTACATTATATTAATATGTTACATATGATTAAATGTATATATATCCTCCACTGGTTCATAGACCGCACTGATGAGGACTGGACCAGGACCCTACAAAATCAAGACAAGATTCACAAGTGGATGGAGGTTTTATTAAGAATATAAGGTCTGAGATTAGTCTAGGTCTGGATCTGAGATTAGTCTAGGTCTGAGTCCGGTCCAGAGTCTGACGAGTGAGTATCCGAGACCCTTTGTACAAAGGGCTGCAGGTTTTCATTCCAACAGCAGCAGACTCCACCTTCTTCAGTCTGACGCCGAGGACCAGGAGAGAGCACCAGTGTTGCAAGTCTAGTCCTGAGGGCGGAGCCTCAGTCCTTGTAGATGGTGGGGGCGGAGCCTCAGTCCATGCAGATGGTGGGGGCGGAGCCTCAGTCCTTGTAGATGGTGGGGGCGGAGCCTCAGTCCATGCAGTTGGTGGGGGCGGAGCCTCAGTCCATGCAGATGGTGGAGGCGGAGCCTCAGTCCTTGTAGATGGTGGGGGTGGAGCCTCAGTCCATGCAGATGGTGGGGGCGGAGCCTCAGTCCATGCAGATGGTGGGGGCGGAGCCTCAGTCCATGCAGATGGTGGGGGCGGAGCCTCAGTCCATGCAGATTGTGGGGGCGGAGCCTCAGTCCATGCAGATGGTGGGGGCGGAGCCTCAGTCCATGCAGATGGTGGGGGCGGAGCCTCAGTCCTTGTAGATGGTGGGGGCGGAGCCTCAGTCCTTGTAGATGGTGGGGGCGGAGCCTCAGTCCTTGTAGATGGTGGGGGCGGAGCCTCAGTCCTTGTAGATGGTGGGGGTGATCATCTTGTTGAAGGAGTAGTACTTGCACTCCTCTGGGGGGGCGATGTCCATCGTGCTGGTGCTGATCCGGTTCTCCTTGAACCCAGCCTGAAGCAGGTGTGGAACCTGTGTCTCCTGGAACAGAAGGTTCTCAGGTCACACACAGAACCTTCTCCAGGAAGAACTTAGACTGACTCTGGACTAAAAGGTCTTTATACTGAGAGAAGAGCAGACCCCAGAGCAGACCCCAGAGCAGACCCCAGAGCAGACCTGAACTCAACAGAAACCACAATTGTTAGAATGACATAAAATGCTGCTCAAACTATCTGCTCTCGTCTTCCAGAATCAGCTATGGTTCTACGGGTCTACAGCGCCCTCACCTGGAACATGGTGGTAATGTCGCTGTACTTGGTCTTCAGAAGCTCTCCCCAGGAGGTGAGGTTGCAGTAGCTGAGGACTCCTCCCGGCTTCAGCATCCTGTGTGCGTGACCCTGGAACAGAACAGTGAGGAATGGGCCAAAGTTGGTTTAGGTCTTACCTTGAAGACAGGAAGTACTTTGTGGAGATTGGAAACTGTGTCTCAGATCATATGGCCCTGACCTGTGGAGTCCCACAGGGGTCGATCCTGGGACCTCTTCTGTTCAATCTCTACATGCTGCCGTTAGGTCAGTTAATACGCAGAAACAAAGTGTCCTATCATAACTATGCAGACGACACTCAGATCTATGTCTCACTGACTGCAGGAGAACATGGACCAGTGGACTCACTCCTTCACTGTATCCAACAGATCAGTGAGTGGATGCAAAACAACTTCCTTCAGCTAAACGCAGACAAAACTGAAATGATTGTCTTTGGTCCCCAGAAACAAAGAGAGAGCGTCATCTGTCACCTCCAGTCTCTCTCCCTAAAACCTTCAAACAAGGTCAGAAATCTAGGGCTAATACTGGACTCAGACTTACATTGTATGTGTGAAAAATGTTAAATGTTAAATCGAGTGAAGGATATTGTGCTGATATTGCAAATATAATTCATGTGCTGCTGGAACTCACAGTCTGTGCAAGACTTTTATAATACGTATTGGGGGAAACAAATTAAGAATAGTTTTGAAACTTCAATATTCAGCGGAAAGAACAAAAAATATATTTAAATCAGAATCAGAATCAGAATCATTTTTATTGCCAACGTAAGTAACGGGAGGTCACAGACTTGGAAATTGCTTTGGCTCAGTGCAACAGTCAAAAAGAGATAATAAAAATAAGAATAAAAAACACTTCTAAAGAATAAATTTAAATTTAAAATAGAGTTACAGTTACTATTTACAATATACAAGTGCACATGGTGCACACAATGTAAGGTGACAGCAGTACAGTGAAGTAAAGTGACGTATGATGGGCAGTAAAGTGACTTTATAAAGGGCGGGGGGACAGGTTAAGAAGTGTTCAAGAGTCCAACAGCAGAGGGGAAGAAACTGTTCTTGTGGCGGGAGGTTCTAGTCCTGATGGACCGCAGCCTCCTGCCTGAGGGGAGTGGTTGGAATAGTCCATGTGCAGGTGAGAGGGGTCGGCTGTGATACGACCAGCCCGGCCTCGAGCTCGGGCGACGTACAGGTCCTGCAGCGATGGAAGGCTGCGGCCGATCACTTCCTCTGCAGAGCGCACAATGCGCTGTAGTCTCTGTTTGTCCCTGACTGTGGCTCCAGCGAACCACACGGTGATGGAGGAGGTGAGGATGGACTCGATGATGGCCGTGTAGAACTGCACCAACATCTGTGCAGGCAGCTTGGCTTTCCTGAGCTGCCGCAGGAAGTACATCCTCTGCTGGGCCTTCTTGATGAGGGAGCTGATGGTCGGCTCCCACTTGAGGTCCTGGGTGATGGTGGTGCCCAGGAAACGGAAGGACTCCACAGAGGTGATGGGGGAGTCCATCACGGAGGGTGGGGGCGGGGGGACAGTGCTCTTCCTGAAGTCCACAATCATCTCCACTGTCTTCTGGGCGTTCAGCTCCAGGTTGTTACCACTGCACCAGGACACCAGCCGGTCCACCTCCCTCCTGTAGGCGGACTCATCGTTGTTGGAGATGAGTCCAATGAGGGTGGTGTCGTCCGCGAACTTGATCAGCTTCACGGAGTCGTGGCTGGAGGTGCAGTGGTTGGTGTACAGGGAGAAGAGCAGGGGAGAAAGAACACAGCCCTGTGGGGCTCCTGTATTTATAATCCGAGAGTCCGAGACATTCTTCCCCAGACGCACTCGCTGCTTCCTGTCCGTCAGGAAGTCAGTGATCCACCTGCAGGTGGAATCGGGCACGTTGAGCTGGGAGAGCTTGTCCTGGAGCAGGGATGGCAGGATTGTGTTGAAGGCAGAGCTGAAGTCCACGAACAGGACCCTGGCGTAGGTCCCCGGGGAGTCCAGGTGCTGTAGGATGTGGTGGAGGGCCAGGTTAATGGCGTCGTCTACAGATCTGTTGGCTCTGTAGGCGAACTGCAGGGGGTCCAGGAGGGGGGAGGTGAGGGACTTGAGATGGGAGAGAACCAGGCGTTCAAATGACTTCATGACGACAGACGTAAGTGCTACAGGTCTGTAGTCATTGAGTCCTGTGATCCTGGGCTTCTTCGGGACGGGGACAATGATGGAGGATTTGAAGCAGGCCGGGACATGGCAGGACTGCAGAGAGGAGTTGAAAATGTCCGTGAACACAGGAGTAAGCTCACTGGCGCAGTGTCTCAGAGTGGCCGGAGACACGTGGTCCGGGCCAGGAGCTTTGCGGGGGTGCAGCCTCAGGAAGAGTTGTTTAATCTCTTTAGCGGCTATTGTTAGGCTGGGGGCAGGGCTGATGGGTGGGTCGTTAGAGTAGTGGGGGGTGGGGGAGGGAGAGGTGTCAGGGGCAGCATCAAAGCGACTGAAAAATAAGTTCAGATCGTCAGCTAGCTTGTGGTCATCAGCACAGGGGGGGGCTTTGGGTTTGTAGTTGGTGATCTCCCGTAGGCCCCTCCAGACAGAAGCAGTATCGTTGTTACCAAACTGCTCCTGTAGTCGTTCTCTGTGCCGGGACTTGGCTGCTTTCAGTTCTTTCCTGAACTGATATTTAGCTGCTTTGTAGCCGCTGCGGTCCCCCTCCCTGAAAGCAGACTCCTTTGCTTTCCTGAGCTGCCGGAGTTTAGCAGTGAACCAGGGTTTGTCGTTGTTATAGATGACCCTGGTCCTTGTTGGAATGATGCTATCCTCACAGAAGTGAATGTATGACGTCACAGTGTCCGTATATTCATCCAAACTATCTGTGGCAGCTCTGAAAAGGTCCCAGTCTGTAGATTCCATGCATGCGCGCAGCTCTTCCACAGCTTCATCAGACCACACTTTGGAGCTCCTCACTGCAGGTTTCGAGAGCTTTAGTCTCTGTCTGTAAGCAGGAACCAGATGTATCATGGAGTGATCTGAGAAGCCGAGGGCTGGCTTGGGAACAGCGCGAAAAGCTCCGCGCACGGTGGTGTAACAGTGATCCAGAGTGTTCTCCTCTCTGGTCGGGCATTTGATAAACTGTCTGTATTTGGGTAATTCCTGGCTCAAGTTTCCCTTATTAAAATCCCCCAGGATAATAATCAGAGAGTCCGGGTATAAGCGTTCCATACACAGTACTTGCTCTGCGAGTGCGCGCTGAGCCTCGCGCGCGTCCGCGCATGGCGGTATGTAAACAGAGGCAAGAATGAATGAAACAATTTCCCGCGGGGAGTAATATGGTTTACAATGAATGAAAAGATATTCCAGAGCAGGAGAGCAGTGCTTGGAGATCACTGTCACATCGTTACACCAGTTTGTATTGACGTAGAAACAGAGCCCTCCGCCTCTGCTCTTCCCTGAGAGCGCACAATGGCGATCCGCGCGAAACAGCCCAAAGCCCTGCAGCTCCAGAGCGCAGTCCGGGATCCGCTCATTTAGCCAGGTCTCAGTGAAGCAGAGGACACAGGATGTGGCGAAGTCCTTGTTTCTTCTCATGAGCAGGCTGAGTTCGTCCATCTTATTGCCCAGTGAGCGTACGTTGGAGAGAAAAATGCCGGGGAGAGCCGTGCGCGCTCCTCTCCTCCTCAGACGCACGAGCAGGCCTCCTCGCTTTCCCCTTTTACGGGCCCACACTTTTTTGGCTAGAACATGAACTAAATCAGCCGCAGATGCCAAGAAAACAGGCAATAGGTCCATGGGAACGGTGGGTCGGATGTTCATAAGTTCCTCACGGGTGTAGGAACAGCCAGATGCACAGTTAAAAAGTAAAAACAAAAGAAAAAGAGAGCAGCAAAGAGCCATGTCGACCGTACGAGGCGCCATCTTCTTGATGAGAGAGGGGCAAAGGGCAAAGTCTGTCTTTGGTGACTTGAATGAAAATAGATTTAAAATTGAAATCGTCCAAAGCAGGAAATAAAAGATTTTATTTTTTTGCCATATCGCCCAGCCCTAGCTGCAGTACATTCAAAATGCAGCAGCTCAAGTCCTGACTAGAACCAGGAAGTACGACCACATTAGTCCTGACTAGAACCAGGAAGTACGACCACATTAGTCCCAAGCCGCGGCGATCCAAGATGGCGCCCTATTCAAATGAATGGTTGTGCTCAGTGGTGCTTTGTGACGGCATGGGGGCTGAAAGATTAGCGGAAGTCGCCTGGAACTCTCAAAGATCTATGGGAAACTCTCAAAGATCTATGGGAAACTCTCAAAGATCTATGAGAAACTCTCAAAGATCTATGGGAAACTCTCAAAGGTCTATGGGAAACTCTCAAAGATCTATGGGAAACTCTCAAAGATCTATGGGAAACTCTCAAAGGTCTATGGGAAACTCTCAAAGATCTATGGGAAACTCTCAAAGATCTATGGGAAACTCTCAAAGATCTATGGGAAACTCTCAAAGATCTATGGGAAACTCTCAAAGGTCTATGGGAAACTCTCAAAGGTCTATGGGAAACTCTCAAAGGTCTATGGGAAACTCTCAAAGATCTATGGGAAACTCTCAAAGATCTATGGGAAACTCTCAAAGATCTATGGGAAACTCTCAAAGATCTATGGGAAACTCTCAAAGATCTATGGGAAACTCTCAAAGATCTATGGGAAACTCTCAAAGATCTATGGGAAACTCTCAAAGATCTATGGGAAACTCTCAAAGATCTATGGGAAACTCTCAAAGATCTATGGGAAACTCTCAAAGATCTATGGGAAACTCTCAAAGGTCTATGGGAAACTCTCAAAGATCTATGGGAAACTCTCAAAGATCTATGGGAAACTCTCAAAGATCTATGGGAAACTCTCAAAGATCTATGGGAAACTCTCAAAGATCTATGGAAAACTCTCAAAGGTCTATGGGAAACTCTCAAAGGTCTATGGGAAACTCTCAAAGGTCTATGAGAAACTCTCAGATCTATGGGAAACTCGCCTGTATTTGGCCATCGTCTGGTCCTCCCGGTTCTGTGCAGTGGATGATCTCCCATAATGCATTGCGTCAAACACGCGTGTGTGGGTCTCACACCGGGTCTCACGCACGTGCACAGAGGGTCTCACGCACGTGCACAGAGGGTCTCGGCCGCGCTCTGACCAATCAGAGCAGTTCATCAGAGCGGGAGTTAGAGCCAGAGCCAGACGAGCAGAGTTTGTGGGACTGGACTCCTGCTGGGACTCTGAGGAGCACAGGGACTGGACTCCTGCTGGGACTCTGAGGAGCACAGGGACTGGACTCCTGCTGGGACTCTGAGGAGCACAGGGACTGGACTCCTGCTGGGACTCTGAGGAGCACAGGGACTGGACTCCTGCTGGGACTCTGAGGAGCACAGGGACTGGACTCCTGCTGGGACTCTGAGGAGCACAGGGACTGGACTCCTGCTGGGACTCTGAGGAGCACAGGGACTGGACTCCTGCTGGGACTCTGAGGAGCACAGGGACTGGACTCCTGCTGGGACTCTGAGGAGCACAGGGACTGGACTCTTGCTGGGACTCTGAGGAGCACAGGGACTGGCCTCCTGCTGGGACTCTGAGGAGCACAGGGACTGGACTCCTGCTGGGACTCTGAGGAGCACAGGGACTGGACTCCTGTTAGTGCCCAGAGTCAGAACTAAACATGGGGAGGCTGCTTTTCAGATTCATGCTGCTAAAATCTGGAACAGTCTTCCTGAAGATGTGAGACAGGCCTCCTCTCTGACAATGTTTAAAACCAGGTTAAAGACAGTTCTGTTTAGCTGTGCTACAACTGAGGGATTTTATATTTTTATCTTTCTTTTTAATGTTCTGTGATAATTTATGATTTTAATGCTTTCTTGTTTTGAATTGCCTTGTGTATGAATTGTGCTATACAAATAAACTTGCCTTACCTTAAAGATACAGTATAATCTCAGGAGCAGCTAAAACCATTTCAAGAAAAACTGTATTGAACTTTGGGGACAGTTCCATTTATGACTCTGGAAGAATGAACAGGACAGAGACCATTTCATGTTTGTGGATATTACTAGAATCAATCTGAGATTATAAATTATACAATGCTTTGTCACGTCCAAAACATCTGGAGCTGTTAATAACATGGTGTGAATGGATCTGTTTAGCGCCCTCCACTGGACAAACTGGAAACAGTCTGAACATGAGTCATTGACCCGTAACACATCAGTACAGCTTAGTTTGGACTGAGCCAGGTCCACGCGCTCACCGGCCACGCCACGCGCTCACCGGCCACGCCACGCGCTCACCGGCCACGCCACGCCACGCGCTCACCGGCCACGCCACGCGTTCACCGGCCACGCCACGCGCTCCGCAGCCTCCGCAACCACGCCACGCCATTCGTTTGAAGAATCAGTAAAAAGTAAATAAAAGTTTAGTCTCACCTTGATGAAGTCGAACTGGTGCGTGTGCCACGTGTCCTCGGACAGCGGGTACGTGTCGTACAGGATCCCTGCCACACACACACTGTTACGGCCTGTCCTTCCCTGTTCAGGGTGTGTGCCTGTGTGTGTGCCTGTGTGTGCGCCTGTGTGTGTGCCTGTGTGTGCGCCTGTGTGTGCCTGTGTGTGCGCCTGTGTGTGCGCCTGTGTGTGTGCCTGTGTGCGCCTGTGTGTGCGTGCCTGTGTGTGTGCCTGTGTGTGCGCCTGTGTGTGTGCCTGTGTGTGCGCCTGTGTGTGCCTGTGTGTGCGCCTGTGTGTGCGCCTGTGTGTGTGCCTGTGTGCGCCTGTGTGTGTGCCTGTGTGTGCCTGTGTGTGCGCCTGTGTGTGCCCTGTGTGTGCGCCTGTGTGCGCCTGTGTGTGTGCCTGTGTGTGCCTGTGTGTGCGCCTGTGTGCGTGCCTGTGTGTGCGCCTGTGTGTGCGCCTGTGTGTGCGCCTGTGTGTGCGCCTGTGTGTGTGCCTGTGTGTGCCTGTGTGTGCGCCTGTGTGTGTGTGCCTGTGTGTGTGTGCCTGTGTGTGCCTGATCCCCTGGAGGACCAGTCCTTACTAACTGAAGCAGGAGTTAGTTGTGTCACTTATTCCTATAGTTTTGTGAAGACACTTTAGGTTTTGTCATTGTTTACTCGTTTAATATGTTATTTATTTACTTTACTTGTGTTTAGAAAATATTTAATCCACACACGGAGGGTAGTATAGACTGTGGTGGTGGATAGTGCAGAGGCAATGATCACATTTGTCCACTAGATGGCAGTGTTATGGGCCTAGTCTGAGCTCAGAGGTTCCGACACATTCGAAACTATGACTAAGAAAGGCTCAGTGTGTTACGGGGGCTTCAGTGAGTTACGGGGGCTTCAGTGAGTTACGGGGGCTTCAGTGAGTTACGGGGGCTTCAGTGAGTTACGGGGGCTTCAGTGAGTTACGGGGGCTTCAGTGTGTTACGGGGGCTTCAGTGAGTTACGGGGGCTTCAGTGAGTTACGGGGGCTTCAGTGAGTTACGGGGGCTTCAGTGAGTTACGGGGGCTTCAGTGAGTTACGGGGGCTTCAGTGAGTTACGGGGGCTTCAGTGAGTTACGGGGGCTTCAGTGAGTTACGGGGGCTTCAGTGAGTTACGGGGGCTTCAGTGTGTTACGGGGGCTTCAGTGTGTTACGGGGGCTTCAGTGTGTTACGGGGGCTTCAGTGTGTTACGGGGGCTTCAGTGAGTTACGGGGGCTTCAGTGAGTTACGGGGGCTTCAGTGAGTTACGGGGGCTTCAGTGTGTTACGGGGGCTTCAGTGTGTTACGGGGGCTTCAGTGTGTTACGGGGGCTTCAGTGTGTTACGGGGGCTTCAGTGTGTTACGGGGGCTTCAGTGTGTTACGGGGGCTTCAGTGAGTTACGGGGGCTTCAGTGAGTTACGGGGGCTTCAGTATGTTACGGGGGCTTCAGTGAGTTACGGGGGCTTCAGTGTGTTACGGGGGCTTCAGTGAGTTACGGGGGCTTCAGTGAGTTACGGGGGCTTCAGTGAGTTACGGGGGCTTCAGTGAGTTACGGGGGCTTCTACCGTCAAAGTGGTTGTCTGGCAGCGTGGGGACCACCTGCTCCCAAAGACCCTTCAGAGGAACCACCTGCAGGAGAACCATGAGGAGAACCATGAGGAGAACCAAGAGGAGAACCAAGAGGAGAACCAAGAGGAGAACCAAGAGGAGAACCAAGAGGAGAACCAAGAGGAGAACCAAGAGGAGAACCAAGAGGAGAACCAAGAGGAGAACCAAGAGGAGAACCAAGAGGAGAACCAAGAGGAGAACCATGAGGAGAACCAAGAGGAGAACCATGAGGAGAACCAAGAGGAGAACCAAGAGGAGAACCAAGAGGAGAACCATGAGGAGAACCATGAGGAGAACCATGAGGAGAACCATGAGGAGAACCAAGAGGAGAACCAAGAGGAGAACCAAGAGGAGAACCAAGAGGAGAACCATGAGGAGAACCATGAGGAGAACCATGAGGAGAACCAAGAGGAGGCTGTACCTTGTGGGGCTGAGCTTTGGCCCAGTTCTGCAGCCGCTCGAAGACGCCGTCGTTGCACTCGATGATCCAGTGCTCCTCGATCGGGAACGACTCCAATTTAGTCGCTGCTATCGCCATTCCAAAACCAATCTCCAACACACGGCCTCCTGCAGGGACCATGGAGGCACCAGAGGTCAGAGAGACACCCTCATACCAGAGATTCTGGTCTGAGGGTGTCTCTCGCTGGTGTGTCCGTTTACAAAGATCCGCTTTAGTGGATCTGTGAGAGAATCTTGAGTAGAGTTGACAGCTGCACACACACACACACACACACACACACACACACACACACGTTTTTGTGACATCTGTGAGACCCACTCTCAGCCAATCAGCTCTCAGCCCAAAGTGTCAGATAGTAACGCGAACAGTGTTCTACAATTAGTCACGAAAGTTGAAGACATTCGACTTTCACTAATGACACACAGAAGTCAGGTACCCGAGCTTTAAACCTCTGCACTACTACTATTCTATCTCCCAGATCAGCCGGTGGTTCCATTATCGGACAGTCTGCCCGGTGTTGGGACCACCAGAGGCCCGTACCTTTGGACGCAGCCACCGCGGCCAGGGAGTGCATGTACGGGGTCTCCCAGCGCTCCATCACGGGCTTCCCCATGATCTCCAGATGCGTGTCCGCGCTGTTGTAGCCCGCGCTGGCGTCATGCCATGAGGCTTTGCAGTCCTCGCCTTTGGAGAAGATGGGCAGAGCCGTGCTGGTCTGAGCCGTGCTGGTCATGCTGGTCTGAGGTCTGAGGTCTGAGGGGAGAGAGGCCGAAGCCGAGGAGCCCTGGGGTTTTATGTGGACCCAAAGTGCTGACGGGACAAGAGCCGCGCGTGCAGGCTGGAGACACGCGCACGAGGACAAAGATCATGTGACATAAGAAGAGCACACACTCTGTAAGGGAGAGACTTCAGACACACAGGAGAGAGCGCCCCCTGCAGGAAGAGCCTTTCACTTATACATTCACTCAGGATCAGGGGTCAAACCCCTGAACCTTGACCTTTGGCTGTGGCTGACCTCATTTTAACAAACTGGAAAGATTAGTAAGATACAGAGACAGAGAGAGACACAGAGCGAGAGAGACAGAGACAGAGAGAGAGAGAGAGACACAGAGACAGAGAGAGACACAGAGACAGAGAGAGAGAGACACAGAGAGAGAGAGAGAGAGAGACAGAGAGAGAGAGAGAGACAGAGAGAGAGAGACACAGAGCGAGAGAGACAGAGAGAGAGAGAGAGAGAGACACAGAGAGACAGAGAGAGACACAGAGAGAGAGAGAGAGAGACACAGAGAGAGAGAGAGACACAGAGAGAGAGAGAGAGAGACACAGAGAGAGAGACACAGAGAGAGAGAGAGAGAGAGAGAGACAGAGAGAGAGAGAGAGAGACACAGAGAGAGAGAGACAGAGAGAGAGAGACACAGAGAGAGAGAGACAGACACAGAGAGAGAGACACAGAGCGAGAGAGACAGAGACAGAGAGAGAGAGAGAGAGACACAGAGAGACAGAGAGAGACACAGAGCGAGAGAGACAGAGACAGAGAGAGAGAGAGAGACACAGAGAGACAGAGAGAGACACAGAGAGAGAGAGACACAGAGAGAGAGAGACAGAGAGAGAGAGAGACAGAGAGAGAGAGACAGAGAGAGACAGAGAGAGAGACACAGAGAGAGAGAGACAGAGAGAGACAGAGAGAGAGAGACAGAGAGAGAGAGAGACACAGAGAGAGAGAGACAGAGAGACAGAGACAGAGAGAGAGAGACAGAGAGAGAGAGAGAGAGAGAGAGACAGAGAGAGAGAGACAGAGAGAGACAGAGACAGAGAGAGAGAGACAGAGAGAGAGAGAGAGAGAGAGAGAGAGAGACAGAGAGAGACAGAGAGAGAGAGACACAGAGAGAGACGCAGAGACAGACACATGCTCTGTCCCATGACAGTTACATATACAGTGCCTTGCAAAAGTATTCGGCCCCCTTGAACCTTTCGCCACATAAAGATATAAAAATTACATTTTTTTTCATGAATCAACAACAAGTGGGACACAATCATGAAGTAGAACGAAATGTATTGGATAATTTAAACTTCTTTAACAAATAAAAAACTGAAAAGTGGGGCATGCAATATTATTCGGCCCCTTGCGCTAATACTTTGTAGCACCACCTTTTGCTGCAATTACAGCTGAAAGTCGCTTGGGGTATGTCTCTATCAGTTTTGCACATCGAGAGACTGGAATTCGTTCCCATTCTTCCTTGCAAAACAGCTGGAGCTCAGTGAGGTTGGATGGAGAGCGTTTGTGAACAGCAGTCTTCAGCTCTTTCCACAGATTCTCGATTGGATTCAGGTCTGGACTTTGACTTGGCCATTCTAACACCTGGATACGTCTATTTGTGAACCATTCCATTGTAGATTTGGCTTTATGTTTTGGATCATTGTCCTGTTGGAAGATAAATCTCCGTCCCAGTCTCAGGTCTTTTGCAGACTCCAACAGGTTTTCTTCCAGAATGGTCCTGTATTTGGCTCCATCCATCTTCCCATCAATTTTAGCCATCTTCCCTGTCCCTGCTGAAGAAAAGCAGGCCCAAAGCATGATGCTGCCACCACCATGTTTGACAGTGGGGATGGTGTGTTCAGGGTGATGAGCTGTGTTGCTTTTACGCCAAACATATCGTTTTGCATTGTGGCCAAAAAGTTCCATTTTGGTTTCATCTGACCAGAGCACCTTCTTCCACATGTTTGGTGTGTCTCCCAGGTGGCTTGTGGCAAACTTTAAACCAGACTTTTTATGGATATCTTTGAGAAATGGCTTTCTTCTTGCCACTCTTCCATAAAGGCCAGATTTGTGCAGTGCACGACTGATTGTTGTCCTATGGACAGACTCTCCCACCTCAGCTGTAGTTATCTGCAGTTCATCCAGAGTGATCATGGGCCTCTTGGCTGCATCTCTAATCAGTCTTCTCCTTGTTTGAGATGAAAGTTTGGAGGGACGGCCGGGTCTTGGTAGATTTGCAGTGGTCTGATACTCCTTCCATTTCAATATAATTGCTTGCACAGTGCTCCTTGAGATGTTTAAAGCTTGGGAAATCTTTTTGTATCCAAATCCGGCTTTAAACTTCTCCACAACAGTATCTCGGACCTGCCTGGTGTGTTCCTTTGTCTTCATGGTTCTCTCTGTGCTTTAAACAGAACCCTGAGACTATCAAAGAGCAGGTGCATTTATACGGAGACTTGATTACACACAGGAGCATTCTATTTATCATCATCAGTCATTTAGGACAACATTGGATCATTCAAAGATCCTCACTGAACTTCTGGAGTTTGCTTAAGGTCACTCAGATCAAAGTCCACAGTGTTATTCATAGACACATTGATAAACGCTGCAGACACTGATGTAATCAAAGCATCAGTGTTTAAAGCTGAGGTCTGTAACCAGAGAGGACCAGAGAGAGACCAGAGAGAGACCAGAGAGAGACCAGAGAGAGACCAGAGAGAGACCAGAGAGAGACCAGAGAGAGAGACCAGAGAGACCAGTGAGAGAGATCAGAGAGAGACCAGAGAGAGAGACCACAGAGAGACCAGAGAGAGACCAGGCATTACTCGTTGTAACTGTCATAAGTAGTACACAGTGAAATGATTGAGGTCCTATTAAAGGGGGGTTCTTTCAACTGTCTTACGGACAAATGTCCGGCATTCGTCCCCCAAGCCCGACGGCGCGTGCCCAGACACGGACATAACAGTGCCGGAGGCACTGAATGGCTTTGCTTCTGCTGTAGTACACTGTGTAATCAATGGGGTCCTATGGGGGGGGTGGGTGACCTCATGACGGCGAGGCACCGAACGCAATAGTTGCGTTCGCCTCGTTGTTTGCTTTAAAACGACGTATCATTTGTATTATAGGTTACTATTGAAACCTATATTGTTTTTGCTTGAAGATTTTCAAAAAAAAAACCTTGGTTTGGTTTATTAGGCCCGAGCCCCAACCGGGGTAAGGGCCTATTGCTTTTCCAATGAGTAATGCCTGGGCTTCTACATCAGACCTTAGATTGTTTATGAGTTAGTATCAGGATTAGGGTGTGGCTAACCACACCCATAGGTTATAAATCTCCAACGCACGGTCCGAGAATTCATTCCCTGAAGAAGTCCGCTAGTTTGAGGACGAAACGTCGGGAAAACCTGCTAAGAAGTACAGATGATGGGTGAGAAACCTTCCTTTGCTTTCAGGCATAAAGTGTATTATTTTGGTGTTCTTTGATGTAACACTAAAAAATAGATGTTGTAGGGGGCGCTATTGTACAACATAAATGCCTTCCGTTTGCACCTCCAAAGTCCGATTTGCACAGACTTTGAATTGACTGTTCCACTCTTGGGTTTGAGTAAACTGAAAGTGTGAATCATTAAATTGCAGCAATAGCGCCCCCTACAGACTGATCCAAGTATTACATGGGGAGAAAGAGGTTTATCTATTCAGTAGAGACACACAATCACTGTTCATAGGCATTCAAAATACACAGTGTCGCTCCCATCAAGGCGGTAGGAAAATGGCGCGTCAGCGCCACCTCCTTGGCGCGGTGCGGCGAGGGCCGTTCGACGCCGCTTGCGGCTTTAATTTTTCATTTGTTTTTTCACAAAATAATAAAATAAAACTTAAAGTAGCAGTATGTAATATTTGCATGTCAAGTCATCATTAAATGGCCCCATATTTCAAAAGGCGTTATCAAATCATGCGCTTTTCGAATACATCTTTAATGGATAACAGTAGTTCAAAGATATTTGAATATCAAAATTAGTTTTATGACCCGTAAAAGTTGTTATTGTTTTGATGTTGATGTCCTACCCTCCGCCGTTTGGCCAATCAGGAAGTGTCATGTAAGTCCGTGATCGGGTTGCCAGAACTCCGCGCAGCTCATTAATCTCAGTGGTAAAATAACATGTGGCGCAGAACTAAAAAAGGTCTTGTTATGACTCTCAAATCATTAATGACCAGTGTTGGGCACGTTACTTTGAAAAAGTAATTAGTTATAGTTACTAGTTACTTCTCCCAAAAAGTAACTGAGTTACTAACGGAGTTACTCCACTATAAAAGTAACTAGTTACCAGTAAAAGTAACTATTGCGTTACTTTTTCGATTTGTTCTGGAACATAATGTGCACTCGACGTGCGCATTTTTACCTTTAACCTCAGTGAGTCTGAAATATTGCCAATATTTCCATCTAGAAAAGGCTGTTTAGCTGCTGAAGTCCTGTTCACTCTTCATCTGTCTCTGTGCTGTAAGCACTAAACACCAACACCCGCCACTGTGAATGTGGAAACACCGGTGAAGCACTGACTTCAGCCCAATCAGATGAACATATATATCATAGAAATCAACTGGACCTAGAGAGTGGCTTATTTGTTTGGCTACAGCAGAATACGTTTCATGCCCGCATTGTTTGTTCATACAAAACGCAAAACTATGAGTTATGGGTCTTACCTTATAAATGACCTGCACAGACCACTTCGCTTCAGACCATTTCCATGTTTAAGTCCAGATAATAGTTTGAGCATAGATATGTAATCCTCCATTTGGAAATGAGTCCAATGAGTTTTAACAAAACGCGTGTGTCCTCCATAAACTCCTCTGTTTTGCTGCAGCCGGGTGCATCCGATTTCTAAAATCAACCGTCTTACACTTCACCTCTCTTTCTTATCATTCCTATAGTCATTGAAAAATTACCCTAAGTGCATTTTAAATGATCTTAAATATGTTAT